TTCTTGGTTAAGAATCGTGTCCAGAATTGTCTGGACGATTCGTCTGGCTGCTGAATTATGTGGCTTAGGTCATCAGCGTCTGGTGGTCGCACATACGTACCTTGGAAGTTATCGAGGAATGCGGCTTCCAGGTCTTCCCAACTCCTAAGTGACTCTGCTGGCAAGCTGTTAAGCTAATGCCGGGCTGGTCCTTTAAGCTTGAGGGGGAGATATTTGATGGTGTGAAGATCGTCACCGCGGGCCATGTGGATGTGAAGGAGATAGTCTTCGATCCAAACCGCGGGGTCTGTTGTGCCATCGTAAGATTCAATATTCACGGGTTTAAACCCTTCGGGGATTTGATGATCCATTACTTCATCTGTGAAGCATAGTGGGTGTGCGGCGCCTCTGTACTGGGCGATATCACGACGGAGCTCAAAAGAGCTTTGTCTGTTTTGTTCGGCCCGGCCGGACTTACTGTGTCCGGCGCGACGGTTGTCGTCACGTATCATGGGGTGCCCACGCGATCCATAGATCGATCTTGATTGTCTTGCCTTATCCTCCAATATATCTCGCAAGTCCGGAACGTTCCCCTGTGGCTTTGTGCTCTTCGAGCGATGTCGGGGTACTCTAGTGAAGGGCCTAGGGGCCTCTCTGTCGCGACCACGGGGTGGTCGGTCAGCCTTATTGTCTCCTGGTGATGCGGGTTCATACACCTCCTCCTCTAATCGGGGGAGCAGCTTGCGTTTAAGGTAGCTTTTGGAGGGGCGTTCGAGCTCATGCTCTTCGGCCGCGAGGACTTCAGTCCATCTGTTGGCTAGCAGATCTTGATCAGCTCTAAGCTGTTGCTGCTTTTTTTTGAGGCTGTTCGCCGTGGCCATAAGCCTGCGTTTAAAACGCTCTTGTTCGACGGGATCCTTAGGCACGACAAATTCATCATCGTCGATGCTTGCCTCGTCTCCGGAGGGAGGCATATAATCCTCTACCTCTTCTTCTGCCGCTCTCTCATGAGGGCTGGCGTCTCCGTCCTCCTGCGCTGGATCTTGCTAGAGTGGGTTGTCTTCGGCACTGTCCGGTGTATTATTATCTCCGGTGCCGGAATCTTCATTCTTGCTGTGGCGGGATTTAGAGCGGCGCCCCTGACGCCGACGCTTGGGCTGTTTCTTGGAGGGGTCATCCTCCGCTGTTCCTTCGCCATTCCCATCCTTTGGGATATCCACCATGTATATGTCATATGATGAGGTGGCTTTCCAGTGCCCGGTGGGCGCTGGTTCTTGGTCGTCTCCAGCATCGTCGTCCATACCGTCAATGTCTTCGGAGTCGTAGTCTAGCATGTCGGTTAGATCGTCGACAGTGGCTACCAAGTGGGTGGTGGGTGGGCTTTGAATTTCTTCGTCGTCCGCATCCTAACCGTCCTGACCGCAGTCCGGCCAGGGCTCTCCTGATAACGAGAGATACTTTAGCGAACTCAAGATGTTGCCGAAAGGTGAGTGTTGAAAGATGTCCGCTGCGGTGAACTCCATGATCGGCGCCCAATCAGATCCGATCGGAGGGGGCGCGGGAGGTTCGGAGTCCGGCAAGGAGTCCGGCACCTCGGAGTCACGAGCTTCATGAGGGACAAGGTCAGTGTTCGGCTTTATCGCCGTAGAGGTTGCAGCCCCCGAGGCGGTGTCTAGCCATCCGTCCTCGACCTGCGCAGCCGGCTTCGAATTGAAGATCGGAGCGGGTTCGAGTGCGGCCTCCAGGGTACTGTCCGGCTGCAGAGCTAAATCATGCTCGCCGTGACAGTGCGGCACGCTCGGCTGTGGCTCGAATCCATCGAGGATCAAGTCCCCGCGGATGTCAGCCGTGAAGTTCAAACTTCCGAATCTGACCTGACGGCCAGGGGCGTAGCTTTCGATCTGCTCCAGTTGGCCAAGCGAATTGGCCCGCAGTGCGAAGCCGCCGAATACGAGGATCTGTCCGGGGAGGAAGGTCTCACCCTGGACTGCGTCATTGACGATGATTGAAGAAGCCATCGAGCCTATCGGTGACGACACAGAGGAACTCTCAATGAAAGCACCAATGTCAGTGTCAAAACCGGCGGATCTTGGGTAGGGGGTCCCGAACTGTGCGTCTAGGCGGATGGTAACAGGAGGCAAGGGACACGATGTTTTACCCAGGTTCGGGCCCTCTTGATGGAGGTAAAACCCTACGTCCTGCTTGATTAATATTGATGATGTGTGTTACAAGAGTGGATCTACCATGAGATCAAGGAGGCTAAACCCTAGAAGCTAGCCTATGGTATGATTGTTGTTCGTCCTATGGACTAAAGCCATCCGGTTTATATAGACACCGGAGAGGGCTAGGGTTACACAGAGTCGGTTACAATGGTAGGAGATCTACATATCCGTATCGCCAAGCTTGCCTTCCACGCCAAGGAAAGTCCCATCCGAACACGGGACGAAGTCTTCAATCTTGTATCTTCATAGTCTTGGAGTCTGGTCGATGATGATAGTTCGGCTATCCGGACACCCCCTAATCCGGAACTCCCTCAGCCTTATTGGGCCATACGGGAATAGAGGAGAGAGGCCAAAAGGAAGGAGCCCCCCCCCTCAGGTTCGAATTGTACAAGGGGTGCATCCCCCTTTTCCTTCTCCCTCTCCCCCTCTTTCCTTCTCTCCTACTCCGGAAAGGAGAGGGGAATCCTACTAGGACTTGGGAGTCCTAGTAGGACTCCTCACACTTGGCGCCCTCCCTCTAGGGTCGGCCTCTCCCTCCCTCCTTTATATACAGGGGCAGGGGGCACCTCTAGACACAACAATTGATCATAGATCTCTTAGCCGTGTGCGGTGCCCACCGCCACCACATTCCACCTTGATAATACCGTAGTGGTGCTTAGGTGAAGCCCTGCGTCGGTAGAACATCATCATCGTCACCACGCCGTTGTGCTGACGGAACTCTCCCTCAAAGCTCGGCTGGATCGGAGTTCGAGGGACGTCATCGAGTTGAACGTGTGCTGAACTCGGAGGTGCCGTGCGTTTGGTACTTGATCGGTCGGATCGTGAAGACGTACGACTACATCAACCGCGTTGTGCTAACGCTTCCGCTTTCGGTCTACGAGGGTACGTGGACACACTCTCCCCTCTCGTTGCTATGCATCACCATGATCTTGTGTGTGCGTAGGAATTTTTTTAAAATTACTACGTTCCTCAACAGTCGGATGTCGCTCTTATGTATGATGACGTTGTATTCGTGTGGCATCATATGCCTCTTGTATGTATCCCTAACTATTATGTAATGGTACGATGAATGATATCCACCTTGCAAAAGCGTCTCCAATATGCGCTTCTATCCTTGGTGGGACCTTAGTTCCTTTAGGATAGGGTTACATATTGGGCGTGACAGCGGGATAGACAGGAAGAGGAGAGTTGGGTGGTGATATGAGGTCGATGGAGAGAGCAAAGGAGGATAAGCAGGGCTTGCTGTTGCTACCTCTCGCCGGTGGGTGGCGGTGGGTCCAGCAGCCAGTTGACGCGTGTGCGAGTCTAGAGCACCGTCATGTTCCAGCGAGACGGGTCGCTGTGCGGTTGATGTCAAATAAAAATCAATTGGTTCGCACAAACACTATAAAAAAAGATTGCACTGAGTTCTGTTGGATGGCTAACTGATTTTTTTTCAATGAACACCGATCATTATTACTTGATGTTGTTTGTCGCTTGTTACTTGATGTTCTTTTTACATTACCAAATGTAATAATTAACAGTGACTGAAATATTGAAAATTTGTGGCAGAGCCAGAAGATAGAATTAGGCAACTGCCGATTTGGTAGAGCCAATCAGGACAGGCAAACACGATTTTCACACAACTAGTAAATGATAAATCTTGCCGTGGCAGTGGGCGCATGCAGCGAAGCGACACATGTTATGGGAATGGGGGCATCCCTTAGAATCGTCAATTGATATTAGTTGCTTAGAGTTATAGGCGAGTTGCCTTGGCGGCAACCGGCTGGCATGCTACCGAGTTAGCGCTTCATGTGGTAGTAGGTAAGTGTCCAACATTGTCGTTAGCCGCACATTATCTTCTGAAGTGACCTCCTAAAGAACCCTATCACAGAGCGACTAATCGTTTTTTACATTAGTACTTGGACCGTAACCCAGTTCCTCGATCTGGACAACCTTCGTACAGGACCACAGACATTTGCTCCATAACGAAGCATGAGGGTTATGCAGGAGACATTGTATGGAGCATGTGCCCGAGGGGCACAGAGGGCAGCTAGCCCTCAACCCAGCTCAAGAGATTAGTTAAAACATTCCCTTGCATTGGCGCAGTTTAATCCCTTGGGTTGGTGCGATTCAATGACAGGTGTGTCATGTGATGGTCAGGCTAATCGCCTCTGCATTGATCATGTCTACATACATTATGATCAGGTGGACACTGGGGACACCGTCAGTGAGGGCGAAAATTAAGAAAAGCGGCGATAGATGAATGCCGTGTTGAAATAGAGGACTTGGACTTGCACGGCATGCGAGGTGGAGTCTTTGAGTCATACTTTCAGATGTGTGTGATATTATTAGTTTTCTCACGTTGCACCGCATGGGCATTTTTGCTACTATACTATAAAAGAAGAACAGAAGAAACAGGGAAAAGGTCACATCACGAGATGGGCCTCGGCTTCGCGATCTGAAATATATTTTCATGTTGGGCCTCCTGACCGCGAAGTGCCGAGAAAGTGTTCGAGAATTATCGAGAGAACCCCACAGACCTGAAGAACACCCGAGCCTCTCCAACCAGGTACGCCGAGCGGTGTGCGTTGTCCCGAAGCTTCAACATCTTTCCCCGTCGTTCCACGATCATGGCATGAAATCACCTCCGCTCTATAAATGGGCGCGGCAAACTCGCCATCTCCCACCGAACAAGCGAGCAAGATAAGAACCACTTAGCTGCAGTCCGTAGAACATCGGCTTCCGAGTTTCAACGATCTCATCGACACTCTCTCGTTTCAATTCTCGAGCGACTTTTAAAGCTCCCTATCTGGTGCAATGGCTGACGCGAACGCCCCCTTCGCTCTCGTCAGCCGCCTCTCCCCGGCCGCGCGCCTGCCCATCCGTGCCTGGAGGGCCGCGAGGCCAGCGCCGCTCTCGACCGGCGGGAGAACCCGCCCGCTCTCCGTGGCCTCCGCGGCGCAGGAGAACAGGGACAACTCCGTCGACGTCCAAGTCAGCCAGGCCCAGAACGCCGGAAACCAGCAGGGCAACGCAGTCCAGCGCCGCCCTCGTCGCGCTGGATTTGACATCTCCCCGTTCGGTAAGTCCTCTGTTCCGCAGTGCCTTTCAAAGAGAGAAATTTGTTCCAGTGTGAGAGAAGCAGAGCCTGACGTACGTCGTTTACGCTAACGTATACAGGGCTAGTGGACCCGATGTCGCCGATGAGGACGATGCGGCAGATGCTTGACACGATGGACCGGCTGTTCGACGACGCCGTGGGGTTCCCCACGGCGCGGCGCTCGCTGGCGGCGGCGAGCGAGATGCCGCGGATGCCGTGGGACATCATGGAGGACGACAAGGAGGTGAAGATGCGGTTCGACATGCCCGGGCTGTCGCGGGAGGAGGTGAAGGTGATGGTGGAGGGCGACGCGCTCGTCATCCGCGGCGAGCACAAGAAGGAGGCCGGCGAAGGCCAGGGCGAAGCAGCGGAAGGCGGCGACGGGTGGTGGAAGGAGCGCAGCGTGAGCTCCTACGACATGCGCCTGGCTCTGCCGGACGAGTGCGACAAGAGTCAGGTGCGCGCCGAGCTCAAGAACGGCGTGCTGCTCGTGTCCGTGCCCAAGAGGGAGACCGAGCGCAAGGTCATCGACGTGAAGGTCCAGTGATGAGTACGTATGTGCGAGACTGTACCCTGTGTCTGAGGCTTTAAGATTTCAGCTGTCCCAATATGACCGTCGGCGAGTGAGTGCTCTTTGTAGGCGTAGTGTGCCGTTCTTCTCCGATCCTCTCTGCGCGCTCGTTCGCAGAATACGTAGAGCTTTATGTAAATGTACTTGGCAAATCAATGAATAAGTGTTCGGCTGCTTGATCAGCTGCACACACTTCGATTAATTACTGCATCGAGAAATATTAGTTCCCTGTTGTGTTGTGGTGTGATATGATGTGTTCTTTCAGAACCCGGAAGAAGCTGATAACTGAATCGAGATATAATATAGGCAGCACATCCTCATGAATTTGTAGAGTGCAGTTTGTCGGGCATAAAATTTCAAGAATGTGTTAACGGATAGGAGTACAATTCTTTTCTTCACTTTTGTTAGTCATGGACAGCGGCTCGGGGTGCAAGGCTACATCAAGCCGCAGCTCTCCTATCAGTGTCAGACGACGTGTCGGATCCGACGGCCGCTGCAGCTCCACCCGCCCCTGTAGCTGCAGCAATGAGCAGATGAACTTGGTTTTCAGGAGTTCTTGGAAATCAACACACAGATGTGTTGTGGCAGTCCTAACCTGCGTCGCTGGCGCTCTCTGGAGCGTCGGCGCCGTGGAGCCCGGCGGCGTGCGCCGCCTGCTGCATGTGTGCCGCGTACTGCATCATCTGCGAGTACTGCAGGATTGCGGCAGAAGAATTCTGACCTTGGTTGCTGGCTGCTTGCATCTGCTGGAGATAGTACGGTGAAAACCCTTGCTGAGTTCCTTCCGGCCCAGCGGCTGTGTAGTATGTTTGCACTTTTGACTGCTGCTGCTGTTGCTGCTGCACGCTCGTTCCACCATGCGCACCATAGTAGCTCTGCGACATGCATGCAATTTTCTAAGCATAAGGTAAAAACGGTGAGCGTGTTTTTTTTTTTGACATCTGGTCATAAAGTCCCGTTTAGAACAAGGGAAGAAAAACATAGGTATTTTGGAGCATATAGTTTCTACATAAAATAATTTTCTGGTACCAATATCCTACGTTCCTTTGGAATTTCTATATAATCCACTCATTTCACTTGGATTATGGAGGAAGGAAAACATGAGGTCTGACCTTATTCCCTCTTTTCGAAATTAAAAAAATGTTTCCTCTCTTTGTCTATAATTTCTGTAGTTTCTTTATAACATCCAAACACCAAATTTGAGGTCTTCTTAAGGTTTTTATTCCTCTAGGAATTTAGTGTACATGACATCTCAATTCCTCCATTTTTTTTAGGTCCACGTTTTGAGTTCATGTGTTTTGCATTCCTACACAAACCACTTCGAAACTGACATTAGAATGTGACACAAAAACTGAACTAAAACCATGACATGAGTTATGAAACGGAGGGAGTAGAAATGTAGACAAAAGAGAAGAAAACATGAGGCCAACATTAAGATGTCACTAAAACCGTAGGAATGTGGACACAAATAGAGGAAAACATAAGATAGGACCTCATATTGGTTTCCTCCAAAATTCATACAGAATATTCAGTTCCATAGGAATTTGAAGGAGTGCAGGATATTGATTTCTTTGTTTCGACTAGTACCAAAGATTTTTTTTCATAGGAATCCTTTTCTTTGAAATTCAAATTTCTTCCCTTTATTCGCAATACGGTATCTAATTTGAAATATTGGATATGTTCAGGCCTAACTGCCTAAGAGATGGATCTACAAACTTTTTGAAGGCTAGGCACACCACTATAAGATGTCTAAAATGATTTCTTTTCTCACATACAACATTATAGTGTAACCAGTCATCAAAGCCAAGGCTATTGCCTGGGCAGGCACGGCGGTTGGCGGGGTTGTATATCTACTCTTAGGGTGTGTTTGGATGGAGGTCTACCAGACATCAATCTCACCCTCACACCTTGGTAATTAGACGCATGAGAGTCCTTATTGTCCAAGCCTAAACCAAAGTCAATGATGTCGTAGTGATTTTGCACACATGGCAGTCCAAACAAGATGATAGCATTGCAACAATGGAAAAAGAACTTATTTTAGCAAAATATTTAACTATAGAGTTTGCCAAAAAAATAAAACTATTGAAAAACCGAAGAAACTTTTGGAAATAGCTAAGTGAGGGAATATGTCGGGTCTTCATTAATGATCATAATTATTAGTGAGTTCTAGTGTTGTTTAACAATATCCTGGTAATTTTCTTGATTTGGATGTTTGCATCCTTATATTTTGGCAGAAATTTTTCTGATTTATTTTAATCTTCTTGTTTTATTAATTTCTATATTCGTGCTTTTAAATGCATTTTGAAATGGGCTTTCTAGTTTCAATGAAACTTTGGTTAATTTGAATAATTCATTTTCAAGACCATACTAATTTGAATAAATTTTTGTATGGTGAATAATAGATTCTTTGTCATGGGGAAAGAATGATTTGTGCAGCCTGAGATCTCAAAATGATCATTTAGATTTGTGTATGATTGCAAATCTCATGATTCATCAAGTATCAAATCTTAGAGAAGGATACTGACCATTTGCATTTGATACATGTTTTCGTGAGAATACCCTCCTGTATACCTGCCGAGGTAAAACATAAAGCAGATGAATACACTTCCTGAGGAAAATGCCCAATTAACTTCTGTTTGCGAGGAAATGCCCAGTTAATGGCAAACGAAAGAAAGCAAATTTACCCGTAGTAGTAAGGATAGGTGTAGTGAGCCTGCTGGGGGAAGTAGGAGGCAGCAATGGCGGCAGCACCAGAACCCTGGTACGACGAGGACGATGTTGCCGGCGGCGTCGACCTGACCATCCCTGAACAAGATCGCAGTTCGTAGAGGTTTTCAGCGATAATTCGGTAAATGTGAGTAGAAAATCTGCTGATGCGAATCGGTCGTACCAAACGGCGCCGCGGCGGCCGGATGCGCGCGCTGCGAAGCGCCGAGCGCCGCCAGGTTGCAGTTGGCCCTTCTCCCGTCGATCACCGGCGTCGGGTCCTGCAGCGCCCGGGCCGCGGCGTCGGGGTCCCTGAACGTCACCTGGGAAGGATCGACACGAGCAGCAAAGATGAGCTTGGCGCGCACATTGTGACCGAACAGAATCTATCTGCGGGAATCGAAGCTTACGAATCCGTAGCCCCTGGAGCGGCCGGTGTGCTTGTCGGCGATGACGACGGCCTCCGCGATGTCGCCGAACTGCTCGAAGTAGCGCCGCATGGCGTCGCGCTGCGTCTGCCACGCCAGGCCCCCCACGAACAGCTTCGTGAACGTCGTGTCGCCGTCCATCGGTCGAAGCTGGCCAGCGAAGGTGGTGGCTACCGATCGGCGGGTGCGGCAGTTGTGCAAACGTGCTGGCGAATGGCTGGATGTCTGAGACCGGGGGAGTATTTTTGTACGGGGGAGAGACGGCGAGATGGAGCCCACGACAGGGGCAGAAGCTGGCGATGATGAGCGCGTCGTGCGCGTGGTAAGGGCATCTCCAGCCGTTGGCCCCAAGGGGGCGTCAAAAAGCGCCGCCTGGAGGTGAGCCGGCGCAAAAAATGACCCTGAGGTCGAGTCGGCCCCCAGCCGTCGGTCCACAGGACCGTCCCTAGGCGCGTATTAAAAAAAGATGAGACGTTCAGCGAAGTTATGATAAAAACTAGTTAAATTTCGGTCAAACATGGCAAATTTCGTCTAAACATGGTAAATTTCGGCGAAATTCACCATTTTCATGACATTAACCTAATCTAAAAAAGAAAGGCGCTGAAGTCGTCGCCGCCATCGTCGTCGTCGTCGGCCTTCTCCTCCTTGACGCGGGCGCCCCTGCTGGACCTGGCGTCGCCATGGCGGACTGGCGTCGTCGTCGTCGTCGTCGCTGTCGCGTAGGACGACGACCTCGTCTTCATCGCGGCCGCGTCGGCGCTCTTCGAAGCGGCGCAGGGCGGCGCGCTGGCGCTCCTTCACCTTCTCCCGGCGCGCCTTCTCCATCGCAATGGAGTCCTGGCGCGCCCATTCTAGGGCCGCGTCGTCGTCGTCGAACTCCGCCTTCACCGGCGCAAGCCCCGGCTCCGTCTTCACCGGCGCCAGCCCCGGCTTCGTCTTTGGCTTGACGAAGCGCGGAGGAGCCAACGAGGACGAGGCGCGCCGGCCGCTCTCGTTGATGACGATGCCGGCGCTGCGAGTGCGCCGGCCGAGCGGCGACTCCGCCGCTGGCTCGGCCTTGACGCCGAGCAGGACCGGAGTGCCGGAGGAGTGCGAGGAGGATCGGGAGGAAGAAGAGGAGGAGAAGGAGCCGAACCTCCTTGGCGCCCATGGACCGACGCGTCGGTGCTGCGCCGGGGGGTACGCCAACGGCGGGTCGTTGCCGCCCTCGAGGTACGTGAGTACGCCCTCGAGTGTGCGGCCGGGGACGCCCCACCAGAGGTGGCGCCCCTCGCTGTTCTGCCGGCCGCCGACCACCGGCGCGCCGTTGGTGGACGCCAATCGCTGCTGCTGGCGGCGCTCGAAATACGCCGCCCAGGCCGCATGGTTGTCGGCGGCGTACTGGGGGAGGGAGAGTTGGGCATCGGTGAGGGACGCGCGCACCATCTCGACCTCCTCGGCGAAGTACTTCGGCTTCGCCACGGCGTCAGGCAACGGGGGAATGGGTACTCCCCCGGCGCTGAGCCTCCACCCCGATGGCCCGGCGCGCATGTCCGGCGGCGCCGGGATGTTCGCCTGGAACAGGAGCCAGGACTCCTGTTCGCGGAGCGAACGACGACCGAAGCCGTTGGCCCCGCCTCGTCTTCGGGGAAACGTTCTGCCATGGCAACGGCGGGGCGGGGCGGGCTCGGGAGAGGTAGAGGGAGGGGCCGGAGGGCGGCGCTCGGGAGAGGCAGGGAGAGGGAGGGGTTGGACGGCGGCGAGGGGGGACTGGTCTGGGCACATGCGAGTGGAGGCCGCTGGCTTTTATAGCCGGGCCGCGCCCGTGTGTACGCATGCGCGGGAAGGGAGGCGTCGGCGCGC